GTAGTTGTGCTTAGCAGGCGTTAAGCACTTAGAAAGAAAAATGATAGGCCTTAGCATCATTCTAAAGGGCTTAAGAAGGTCTTTAGCTTCTGTACTTTCAAGTTAGTATATAGCGACATTAAAACTAAGCTCTTTTAATACGTTAAAGAACATGTACAGAGTCTTTATAGGATTAAAATAGCGTAGGATATCTGCTGATTCAGTAAACGCGTTTTTAAGGTCCTCAAACGTAGTAGTATGCTTATTCTCTTAAAGTTCTTTAAATACTTACGTTCTATAGCTTTTTCTCTTTTGTAGCTTTTCTAGCAGAGATCTCTTCTCTCTTTAAGAGCCTTAAAAGACGATTGTTTTAAGCTATTATAGAGTCTTAGAGTGTTATGCAAAATAAGGAACTTGCTAACAATGCTAGCCTATAAAGCTTATAAAGCGTTCAAAGTTATAACTATTCCTAAGGATATCCTACTTAGCTATAGCCGCTAGCTTCTCTTCTGTGATTAAATATCTAAGTTAGTTAACAAGTTTTTCAAGCGCTATAAGCTCTTAAAAGCTAAGATAAGTCTTTATAACTTTGAAAGTATAACCAGCATTAGCGAATCATTAAAATATAGCATCTAAATCCTACAAGTGTTAGCTGAATAGCTCTTTAGTAAAAATATTAACGTTATTAATATAGATATTAATAATCTTTTATAATAATCCGGCAAGTAGGCGTTCGAATATTTATTAATTATAAGCAAGAGAATTTTTGAAACTTATTAGCGCCACACAGAATAGCTCTAGGCCTTAATACAATGCTGTTATAGTTTAGTACTGATTATCAGGATATATAAAGTACTAATAAAAGCTAAATATAAAGTTTATAAAAGAGATATAAGTAGCTAGGGCTATTACAGCAAGGATATCCTCCTAAAAAGGCAGGGGGTATGTATCTGACTCTGCTATATTATTAAGAGACTATAGATCTATTATAGGTCTTGCCTTTTTAATAGCTCCTTTTAAAGTGTACTTATATATTACAAATATTAGTAAGGAGTAAGATAAATACTTTGCTAGTGCCATCTAACCAAGTTGGATATTCTTATTAAATATATTATTAATTGCCTACTTTATATACAAAGCGTTATAATAAGAGAGTTAAGGCTTAAGATTTCGTTCTAATTCAGGGGCGACCTTAATTTATAGTCACTCCTCTTCTGATTAATATGCTATATTAAGAATATTGTTAAAAATAATTGCGAAACGCTTTGCTAGCTTCAGAGCTGCTTCTACTAGTCTAGGGGCAGTTTTTCGTTGATATATACCTCTTAGTAGGTAGATATAAAGGAGTTAAGGACTACTATGCCCTTAGGAAGCTTATATTAATACTTAGGCTAATATGTTTCTTTAAGCTAATCCAAATTAGTATCCTTAACCTTCTTAGCAGAGGTCTTTGAACTGCCTACGTAGTTTAGTGACTCTTGACCTAGAAAGCTATTTAATACTTTAGTTGCCTACGCTACGTATGCGAAATAGCCTGTGCAGATTAACTCTGTTATATTAAGTATTATGCCACGCTTAATCTGATAAGGCACAGCATCCTAATTCGAGTACATAACTGTATTCTAAGCAGTAAAAACAACTTCATCTAGTATCCAGAGAGTTTAGATATAAATAACAAGTCTGCCTTGCCAAAGTAATTTATTTGAAGAGCAACTTAATCTACAGAATTAGCAGGAATAATATAATCTTTGCCTATACAAACAACGAAATTAGCTATTAGTTCTTAAGTTACTTACAGATTAACTACAGCAATAGACTTTCTGACCTTGCCAGATTAATAGAAAGTAGCTAATTAGTAAGGAATGTCTAGAACGAGATTCCAGGCCTTAATATAATTAGTACTAATCAGCAAGCTAATACTTAAGTCTTTGAAAATAAGTGCTTTTATCTCAAGCTTTAAGAAGACTCCTTGATTGCTTTAAAGATAGAAAATAAATTTTATCAGCTTAGAAACTTTCTTCCTTTCTCTAATGCCTCAGATGACTAGCTATTTAATAGCCTTAATAGTATAAGGCATATTGTTAAGTAGCTTGTAATTAATCGCTAAATATCTAAAACCAGAGTTAATAATAGCTATAAAGGGCTATAGAGCGTTATTCTTAGTGCTTATATATGCCTTAACACAGGTCTCTATATAATTAGCTATGTCTTCTGGCTATTTGCTTTATAGTTTAGCTATAAGATTAATTACTAATAGGGTTCCTTTAATAGTATAAGTATTAAAAGACTAGAGGTGGCTATACAATTAATTATTTAATAGAAATGCCTTCTAGCATTTTCAGCAAGTAATACTAAAGTTCGCTATCACCTTATCCTTATTAGTACTGATATCTTCCTTGCTTAATTCGTTAAGGATAGCTTATATTACTATATAGGCACGCTGCTAACGCTAATAAGTCTTATTTATCTCTTCGTCAGAGAAATATTCTTATTTGCTAGCGAAAGCCTTCTTCTCATCTCAGAAAGGGCAATTAATCATCTAATAATTAGTCTTTTAGCCTTTAGCTATACATTTTTAATAAGGATATAAAGGATCAGTATTAAAATAATTATCTGCGCGTTTAGCAAGAGCATTCCTGCAGTACTTAGCGTTATTACTGCCCTTAGACTTCTTATAAGTCTTTTTATAAGTCTTCTTAGTATATTAGCTAGGCTTGGAAACAGGATAAACAGGCAAAGACTATAAGCTATACTAATTCTCTTTCACTTTAGATATCTTTTGTTTATAGAGTTTCTGATAAATACTCTAGATCTGTTAAAGATACGCGCAGAACATCTTTAATAAGGAGCAATTATAGTTCGCTAGAGTAGCTTATAGCTTAGAAGCGGCCTCAAAGCCTTTATAGGCTCTTATAACTAAGTCTTCTTCTAACATTATACTTATTATATATAGCATACTAATCTTTTTATCTACATACTTAGCTAGTAAGCGGTTTTAATTCTATTAAAAGTATTCTTTATTTATAACTAACTATAACTCTGCGTTAGTGCTTATAAAGTCGCGCTTAAGCACTAAAATCTAGTATAAAGGAGACGCTATTAAAAGGTCCTTATCTATATTTAAAAGTACAGAGTACTAGGAATAAGTTATCTTATTATCTAAATAACAGAATAATACTAGTGCCAACTTGGCCTTATTATCTTTGTAAATCTTTTAGGCATTACAGATATGTTTTATAAAGTATCAAGTTGACTTCTTGTCTTAATAACTAGTAGGCTTGAATAGATATACTTCAGAAGGCTTTAAAGCAGATGTTCTCTTTTGTAGCGCTTATTACATCTCCTTAATTATCTTCTGTATTGCTTCTTTATTTATAGCAGCTACGTGATCTAACGCGTTGACAAAGGATTAGTGATCCATAATTAGAGAGGGTATAGTATTGCTTTCTTCCACTTCCTCTTTATCTACTTCCTTAATTTCGCGCTTATTTCTTGGTATGCGCTCACCAGTAAGAGGGTCGCAGGCAGGAGGAGGTCGGACCATATACTTAGCGCTCTGTAGGACTTATTTTGCGCTACCTAACAAACAACTAGTAAGGATAAACCGGACTAGCTCGTTTCAAGGATTTCTACGACTTCTGGATGCTAAGCGAGTCTTATCTTGCGTGTAGGTATGTTGTAGAATTATTAAGTTGCTTAAGGAGGGCTTGAAAGGGATTCGAGATAGGGATACTTCTGCAGGGCGCAGCTAGCTCGCTGCTAGGCAGGGTAGTCGACAGGGATTCTGCAGGTAGCGTTCAGCGCTGTGCAGAACGTTGACAGGGTTGAAGTCGGAGCTGCTTGAGGCGAAGAACAGGCCTAGCAGGTTATTAGTGAGCTTGCAGGGATACCCAACAGGCTCGGGGGGTTTTGGAATTCGAAGGAAGGCCTATAACGAATTCGAGGGTGGCAGAGTAGCTTGTGGCGCCCGCAATTAAGCGTTCACTGGCGTGTCCACCAATTATTACGCGGAAGTTGTGCAACAGGGTATGGGGGTGCTATAGAGATAGCGGAGAGTCACGAAGAAGCTATAGAAGGCAA